AGGCAAGGCAAGTTTATTTGTATAGCACAATTCAACAACAAGGTGATTCAAAGTGCAGTGATCGACAGTGATCGTGATCACCGTCTGCGGGAGCGCGACAGCCCAGATTACTTACAGCTACTTCCTGCAGCTGATATAAGGTGCAGTAAGCTGAACACAGTTTGTTCAAAAATAGTAGCACGACCGCACCACATATTCTTGTTAGTACCTGTAACGGCGTTGTAACAATAGGAATAGTAATTAGTTCAATAACGCCGTTATTCCCATCACTGTTAACGAGCTAGTTAATGCTTTTTAGTGGTGTCAGTTAAAAATGTTTTACAAAGACGATATTTTTCTAGAACCTTTGAAAAGCAGAAGCTTCTTGAAGCCGGGCAGAAAATAATGGCTCACCTTTCATTTTAATGTCTTCCTGATGTCGGTGCCGGCTCAGTCTCCCCTCCAGACTCTGTTACTTCGTCTGAAGCCTGGTCCCCTGAAACCTTTGTGACTAAACCTGTTTCCGATGGTTTGGTCACAGTCACACCGACAGCCCGCTCGAGGTCACACCGTAGCTCTCTCAGTGTTCATCTTGCATCGTGGCACACAGCAGCAGACGTTGGTCCTCATAATGGTCAAAGGGCGTCTAAGACCCTGTCCAGCTCTCCTGGAATCTCCTCCGTGCTCCTGAGAGTGCAAGACAAAGCAAACTTTCTGCCACTGACTCATATCGATGCGACACCTGGAGGAGTCGGCTGTGCGACCTCTGTGGAATCCAGGTATGACCTCACGCGACAAGTGGTGACACCGACCCTAACAAAACAACACTAATGAGAAACTTTTCAGTGGCTTCCACCTGCAGAAGCCTTTGTTTCCCATGAGCTTCCTCACTCCTCTTTAAATGCACCTGTTATAAAAGCACAGGCTCGTGACTGCAGCACTGTCAGAGCACATCCTCCTCCACACTCAGATTAAAACCTCCTGCAAGCTTCATTCTGACTGCACAGTCTCCACATTCAAACAGGCTTTATGAGGAGGCTGTTTCAAAGGATCATAAATCCACAGCAGGCAGCAACTGAGAGAAACAAACTTTATTTACACTGCACGTTCTACGACATCAGGTTACACTGGGGCAGTTTGTTAGGATCACCTCTGAAGGCTGATGAAATCACAAAATACAAACGCATGAGAACA